AAATCTATATGCACGACTTCTTCCAAGATGAGAAAAAAAATCAAAAGGATAGATATTATATATTCCAATTCAATGAACAAAAGCCACTTCTTAAATTTTTTGGACAATGTTAAGGTCCTTAGAACACATATAAAGGGAATTAAACACAATTGCTGACATGTGGCAGAAGAGTTTAAAAGGTCTTAGAAGAGGATTCTGGAGGATTGCAGAGGAGAATTAGATTAAAAGGAGGGACTAAAAAAAGCAGTAGAAACAAAAAACTAAGAATGGTAAATGAACTGAGAGTTGACTGTGTAAACGGCATTAACTTCCCATTTAATTTAAAAAGCTTGTCATCCATTTAATCATTGTATAAACATTTATTGAGCACTTACTATGCTTCTGAGTCTATGAAAGGCACTAACGATACATGGTAAGCAAAACCAGGTGTGCCCTCTGGAAGCTCTTCTGCCAAGAATGCCTCTTTTAAGTATTGTCTGATCCTTTCAAGGAGTTGGTAGGAGAGAACAAACAAATGCCAAATAGCTATGTGGTAAGTACTATAGATAGAATAAAATGTGGTAAGTACTATAAAATGTACAAAAAATTAATAAAACCATATTATCATAAGGAAGAGAAATTTCTTCCCGTTAAGATCAGGAAAAGTTTTATGGTGGTGGTGATGCTTGAGTTGGACCCTGAAAGCTGCATGCAAGTTTGATAATTTAGAAAGGGAATGGGGAAAGGAAGACATCACAGTGGAGGGACCAATGTGGGTTCAATGCTGAGGTTGAAAAGCACAGGGAATACTCAGCAAAAGGTAAGGATTTTGGGTGTCTAAATCACTGGTTATGTATAGATAAGGTGAAGAAAAAACAAGCAATTCCTAGATTCAGAGGAATCAGACTTTCCTTGCAACAATAAATTGATGCCTATGATATGTAAATATGTATGATCCAACCTTATGCAAAGTCATGGGGTGGAATGAAGAGCCTCAAGTGAAAATGTCCTTCACCCCACTGAAGGAAGTGAAGTAAATAAACAAGAAATGCAGCTCCCGAATGAATATTCATTTTACTGCATTTCTGAGCGCATCATTCTAATATTGGATAATGAGGACTCCCATGCTCCCCAATAGTCTATAAGAGGCAGTCGTCATAGGAGCAACCCTTTGGGGACCCAACACAGAACTTTTTCAATCCAACAGTTCATGCCTTTTTAAAGTACTGACTTCTATCTGTTCCCTCCAACATGTCAGGGGCACATAGATACAGTGCTGCTGAGGAACACCATCATTCATTAAATTCTCTTCTTTAGAATGAAGCAACTGGCAAAATTCTCTTCCATGGATTCAAGGGACTCTGGTGGCTACTTATCTTGTCCAGTAAGGTCTCTACTCTTGCCACTTCTAGCCTATCAAATATTGCCCTAAATCTTGGCAAACATTGATAATGGTCTCCCAAAGGCCATAAGACCCAATAGGGAGACCTATCTGGAAGCTCCAAATGGAACAATTGTGCTCAAACCCAAGAGAGATCTGACTAGATGAAGATGCTACTTCCTTTTGCCATACATGGGTTGAGGGCAGGGACAGAAGGACTCACCACATTGCCTCGTACTGTCTGTTTTTTCTGGAAGTTTTCTCATCTTCCCACTTGGTTGTGAGACTCTTTGTAGAGGTGACCATGTTATATCCCTTGCGGAGCCTGGTCTATAGTTGATGCTCAACAAATAGTTGTAAACATTGCACTTAATGTTTTTATCAAATTCTCCAATAAAATGCCCCCAAAGGTTTTGAATTTTGAATGACATACCTTAAACATCTGAGATTCAGCAATAGTAATTGTTGTCCTGTGGAGGAAATATGGATTTTTCTGATGAAAATAAATGTCTATAAGATATTTTACTCCAGGTATAGAGATACCTTACTATAAGCTGCTTATGTGTTAAAGACAGAAAAAAACAAAAAAACAAAAACCAACTAGTGCAAATAATACAATTGTGCAACAGTGATAGTTTAGGGGAAAAAAAGTATATACTTTTCCAACTAGAGAAAGATTGGCTGGTTTATTTAACTTTTACTCAACCCTCCTTCCCACACCCATTGAAATGTATGCTAGGTTTGAAAATAATATTTGTAAAAATTTGACCCATGGCTTTTTCTTTGGGTCAGGCCTACACTGGTTCCAACACCATGATTATCAAGAGTCATAGGATTTCAGTGCTTTCTACATAAACACTATCTGGATTTCACAATCTTCCACATTCTTTGAGGTACTGCAATAACAATATTAGGCACAAAAAAAAAAAAAGGTGTTTTGGAGCATAATTTGGGGAGATACTGGCACAGCTGCAGAGATTTCCTCATCTGTCATCCAGTCTCATTTCTTACCTTACATAGTTCTCAGTGGGTTGTTACCAAATGTGAGCTGACTGACCTACAACAAAATCCAAGTAGGGAAACTCCAGCAGATGAAGTAATGCTTCTGAAGCTGGAACCAGTGGATTATTTCCCTTCCTTCTCAGTTTGCTCTCTTTACTTCCCCTGCTCTTTGGGAAGATTATGACACTCACATCGTTAAAAGTCCAGGGGAGTCAATATTCCTAGATTTTCATTTATTCCTTTTCACCAAACATCAGAAATCTCTGGGTTCTCCAAAATAGAAGCCATGCAATTTATATCCTCACACGGGAGTGTTTTCCAAACCATTCTCTTGCAGAGAGGGTCAAAGGTGAGGAGGATTAGAACCTATCCCAGTAGCAATCAGCTGGCAGGCTTAGAAAGAGTCCTTGATACGGTAAAATTCAACGCTTAAAAAACAGAAGTGGAAACACGGTTCTATTAAGGCATTGTCACTCTCACTCTTGAGCACACAGTTTTTTGTTGTCAGAGACAGAAGTGCTCCACCTTTGCACCTTGGTTACTGCTACTAATCCAGGTTCCTTGATCACCCAAGAAAGTTCTTCCCAAACTGGAAGCTGGGACCATCAGTAGATACTCAAGGGTCTCCAAACAATTAGAACACTAAGAGGCCCTCTTAGCCTTGTGTCAGCAGGGTAGAAGCAGCCAGCCACTGCCTTTGGAACATCATGGGGAGTTAGAGGGATGAGTTTACAGCAGCAATAGCAGCAATGCAGAGAGGCCAGTTTTACATACTAGAAACAGAAATGCCCCCCAGAAGTTTCTGAATATAACTAGAAAACTTGACTGCTCTGCTTGACTTCTATACAGTGGGTACTTCAGAAAATACATTTCTCTGAGAAGTTTAGATCAATTGAAGCTGAAAGGCTGCACAGGAGAGCTGACACCCAGGATCTCCTATAATATTAATCCGTGTTTTCTATAGTGCACATCCTTTTTTCCACAACCCACGTTCTATTGTTTTGCTATAACGTATATTTGGGTGGAAGTCTTACTGAGTGATGGGAAATATTCTAGGCCAAGGCAAGATGTTTTTCTTAGTGGAAAGCAGTTGTATTGCTAAGGAAGAAAAAGTTCATGCAGGTGATCTCACATCTGAAGATTTCCCCCCAATAACCAGATGACCAGGCAGCTACAACCATAAGAGAGGGCACATCACCAACCCAGTGTTTGAACATTTTATTGAGCCTCACAAAGACTTAGCATTTCTGTGAGAGGAATTTTACTGGAAACTCAACCCTGCTTTTCTCGATACTACATAAAAGACCCATCTTTCTAACTTACTGGATTTCATTATTTGCATAACGTTTTACTGACCTAGTGTTTCAATAAACCTGCTATTTGGTCTCAGGAGTCAGTCAAACACATTGTCTGATTGAAGTCACCAAAGGCTTAGAGCCTACTACCGTCTTGTACCAACATGCCAACAGAGCGGTTTATCTGGTTATGTTGTATTGTTGCCTTTTGATAACAGTGTATCCATCAGAGTAGACATACTTGATCTGTGTGCCAATGAGGGGCAGAAATTAACTGAGGAAAGCATTAAAAGCCAATGAAAAGACAAGCTAGGAAACACACTATGTTTTCCAAATATTTAAATTTTGGTGAAGATATTAAACAGATTTTATGATTTATAGTAAGATGTTTTTTCCCCTGGCTTCCTTCATCTAATCATTTTGGCAAACTCAAGCACTTTTCACTTAATATTTGAATGTATAAATCTAATTTCTTCATTTTCTTCCATCTGAGTACACTTTCTCTTTAGTTCACCTGGTGAAATATATTTCAGTACTACTTTTTAAATAAGACATTATATTAGTAATATGTATGCAGTCATCTTTAGAATTAAAAACAAATTAATGCTGATTTGTCATCCTCTCTTTAAAACTGCCAATCCAGTGGAAGACCCAGAAGTGACTGGGATTCTTTGATATTTATATAATTAACAGTTCTAATTAACTAGGACACATATATTTTATAGGTTCCCATGAGTAATAAATTAGTATGATATAAAAGTATGTTAGAATGATTTTCAGTATTCCTTGTCCAAATCCACTCATATTTTGAAATTACAATGTCTAGATGACTTATATTGTCTGAAGGCAGAAATTATTATAAAAGAGCTTTTGTGACAATGTATTATAAGCCATGTGAGTAGTGTTTAAAAGTTGTCCACTAATGTCTATTTGGCTTGCAAAACCTGCAGGAATTCTACCAATGTTTTTCAGTGCTTGTTCTTTCCACCTCTGATCTTTCCTGTCCTCCTTCGTTGTGTCTTACTGATCCACCAGATGCAGACAGCTGCCTCAGGAGAAGGATCTCAATAAAAATCAAAGACCAAGAGGTGAGTCTACTGGAGTCATCACGAATTCCACTCCTCTGTTGCTGTCAACTTTCTTTTTAAAAAAGGCACACCTTTAACTTTTTTAGGGGGAGCGGGGTTGGTGAGGGTTGGTTAACATAAACCAGATTCTAAGTTCAGGCAGCAAAAGCAGTTACTCCAAAAAAACAGCCAATACTCAGAAATTAATGTATTACTGGTTTGGTCACGGATGGAATAAATTAGATTTCTTAACCCCTTTAAGTAATTTGTGATTTTTATTCAATCTACAAAACAAGATGCTTTTTTCATTATTACCTGCCTTTTCTCAGTATGCAGCATGGCAGTACAATTGACAGTGAGGTGCTTTGGCACATCAGATTTCTTTCCCATTTGTGGTCAGGGATCCTTTTTCACTTTTCCTCACTTCCTGTCAAACAGGAAGGATGAAAGCTCTGGCCTGGGACAATGCTGTCACATCAGGAGTGGCAGAGGTGTTTACTATCATCCTCTCAGCTTTGTGCTTCAGAAGCATCTCCTGAAACCCTGGGTTTGATGTGGAAACCTGACATAAGCAAAGAGACTTGGGAAGTCCTCCATCTGGCTCTTCTCCCACCTCTCCCATTAAAGATTAAACAAAACTGATGGGATGATTTGAGATGCTTCATTGCCACCAAACTACACCCATGAGTTTGTTTTTCCTTTAAGTGATCTTGTGAGGCCAGTGGGGGGGCTTCTATCTTGATTAATGATGATCATCCTATAATAGGAGCTGGAAACAGTGATACCATGGTTTGGTGTAAGTTTTTGACAAAGAAAATTAGGCTCTGAAAGACATTTCTCATCAGAAACTGTCAATATATTAAAATGCATTTAAAAGTTACTTCTGGGAAACATATTAAATAGGCCAATCATTTAATTATTTGCTAAATGTCAAACCCTATAAAATCATGGTATAATGTCACCCTGACATAAAGCAACATCAAAATTAGTGCATCATCTATAAAGTGAAGTATCATTTGCCTTCAAGTGACAAATTCTATTGCCAAAAAATACCACTGTACTTCTAATAAGTGACACTCATTTTAATAGACCCTACAAAAATACAGTATTTTCAATGTCCCCATAAAACAGTTAACTTACAAATATTACTCTCAGAGCTTTGGTGACATCAATATGTGATACTATTGTGAAAATCCTAATAGAATACTTGAAACGCTAGCATATAAACTAAATTCATTATATATATAACATATATATAATGTGGAAATATGAGAGGGAACATGCATACAATCAACTCTGGGAAATTATTCTGGAATTTCAAATTAACATTTTAATCAAATTAATGACTAATATATAAAAGAAATATTCTAAAGAATTATAAAATGAATTTTGGTCATTTATAGAGGAAAACGATTCTAATGTAAAAAATAACTAATTCTATATTAACTATGCTTGTCCAGTAAGACAGACTCAGGATTTTATATACTTTGAAACTTTTTTGGAAAAAAAGTATTTTCTCTATTTTTGCCCACAAAAACAGGCACTGAAATTAATAATACAAGTAGACCGCAGCTCTGAGAAATTATATTTGAAGTTTCATATTTAAATACTAAAGTTTTTTAATCATTCACCATAACTTTCTAACAAGTCTTTCTTAATGATAAATTTTATCAATCTCCAAAACTCATTTTAAATGATTTAAAAGTAGCAAATTAGATAAAGCAACACACAGATAAATGCCACATTTACAAGTAAAGAAATCACAGGGGCTACAGTTTATAATCAACATAAACTTGAAAGAAATAAAGCAATCTCTTTCCTGCCACCCATCATTCACTGCTTAAATTTGTGGTGAAAAAGATTTATCTATAATGACCTTTAGTCTATATCTTAACTCTGTGTGTATTGTAATTAGCTAAAGGCATTGAACAAATTAGTTTGTCCTATTTTTATTCAGGTCCCAGAGATAAATGGCTAATTTATGAAATATTTCACTCTGTGTTATGAGAATTTAGCAAATGAATATGGAACCAAATATAAACACTTTATACCGTATGTACAGTTACTTTCATAAGGCATTATCATGTAATTTTTATTGAAAAAGATTCAATATAGTAAAGTCTTATTTTAAGATATAGTTTCTTTCTCAATCCGAGATGTTTAGTTTATGAAAATATTGTTTTTCTCTATATTCTTTTTGTATATATGCCAACATGTACCTGTGCTAGAAATATTTTATGGGAATTACAATTCTTTATATTTGTATATTCTATATAAAGGCATATACAACTTTGAGGCAGTGTTTCTGATGGAGAGCAGAATTCGTAAAGAGCTTGTATGTGCTTCCGTGCTCTGAAATTATATGAAATCCACTTCGAGAAGAAACTTATTTGATTAAAAAAACAAAACGAAAACAAAACCAAAACTGCACCAATGCACAGCCGGAGGCTGACAATTAAAACTAATCCATAACCACATGAACATCATATTTATATAGTTAACATTTTTAAGGATGATCAGTGCTAACATGTAGTATATTATACATTTGGCACTAATGTTTGCCATTGGTCCAGCAATTGGCAAAATTTGTTTCTATGTATAAATTTATTTTTTGAACATTAGGTCTGGCTAGACGTATCTTCACTATTTATAAAAAATATTTAGACAGTAAGCTCACGTTGAATAACTAGGTCTACTGTGTTCTGGAAACTCTTCAGTAGTAATACAGCTTTTTCATGTTCCATATGTACAAAACTATGTCCATTTGCCTGTAAACACACAAATAAAACAGGGCAATCAATGCAGGACACTTGTATGTCATTTCACCATTGTTTCTAATTGTAGGATTCAAGGGAGTACTGAGCAACCACAAGTTATCAGGTTTTAAAATTCACAACAGAATTATAACTATGGGAACAACTAATTTCATCCAGCTTTGACTCAATTTATTAAGTCAACAAATGTATTTATCAAGCATCCAGTATGTCCTATCTGGGACTGTCCTCGGCACAGTGCTAATCATGGAGATACACTGGTGAATAAGAGATAGATGTGTTTGAAATATGGTAGTGGTTCTGTGCTTGTTCTTTTGTTTGTTTTTTGCAGGAACTTAGTTGAGATGTTTTGAAAGTGTCCATAGGACCACTGCCTTCTGGCCATATAATTTCTGGTAGAATGATTCTATCAGCAAGGTCGAATATTTCACCCATGACACACATGATTTTGCACTTCCAGTATTATTAAATCTTCTTTTGCCTTCCTGAAAAGTTCTTAGTTTATCCATTTTTATATGAAAGAGAACAATTTTATTTCTCCTATTGCTAAATGCAAGTATATTTATTGTTTATACAAGTGGTTCTCAAGGATGCCATCCAATACACCTAAGAGAGATCCATCCCTCAGAGGTAAGGCACGATGACATTAGTAACAGTGAAGATGCTTGCCATCTTCTAGTTAAGAATCATCAAAATCAATTTTTTTAAGTTTATTTATTTTGAGAGAGAAGGAGAAAGAAAGAGTATGTGGAGGAGTAGGGGAGGGGCAGACAGCAAGAGAGGGAGAGAGAGAATCCCAATCAGGTACGTGTCACATGTCACATGTCAGCATGTGGCCCAATGTGGGGCTCGATCCTTTGATCCCTGAGATCATGACCTAAGTTGAAATCAAGAGTCAGATGCTTAACTTACTGAGCCACTCAGGCACTCCCCGCGCCAAATCCATTGTAAACATAATTAGCCTAGGTTTCAATTTTGGGATTCCAATTGGCTATTATTTGACATTTCAAAAATTTTCTGTAGTGAGTGCTCATGGCTCTTTGGTTTTTTTCTACATTAAATTACAGGTTCTCTTGATTGGAATGACTTTAATAAAAGTCATTATTTTTTATAAATAATAAAATAAATTATAAATAATAAAAATAATTAATATATAGAGAAGTGGATCCCATAAACCTTCACTGTCATGAGAGACAAAATAAAACCTAATCTTATTGAAATTTGGTAGGAATAAATCTTGGAAACTCAATAGGTTAACAATTGTGTAACTGTTTTCCTTGTAGTCTGGGATTCCACTGATTTGGAAGAGTCAGCCAAAATGACTACTTGGGAAAGTACAGACAATAGAGCCAGTTAATTGGTTGACTTTTTCAATTTTCAATTTACTGAAACTAACTTTGGGAACCCATTGCCTTCGTTGTTTTACTTTTTAAATGCTTTCTTAAAATATGATTAATATTTCACATACCACTCAAGATATTTCACTGCCTTTGAATTCTTAAAATTTAAAACAGCTATTTAAAATAGCATCTGGGTGGTTCAGATGGTTAAGTCTCCCACTCTTGATTTCAGCTCAGGTTATAATCTCACAGTTCTGAGATGGAGCCCCATGTTGGGCTCTGCACTGACAGCAGGGAGCCTGCTTGGGATTCTCTCTGTCCTCTCTCCCTGCCTCTCTTCTGCTCACCCTTCTCTTTTTCTCTCTCTCCCTCTCAAAATAAATAAAAAAAAATAAAAATTAAAACAGCAGATCTCTAGCATTACTGGATAGTCTTTACATCATAGATGAAAATCATCTGACACATTATGTTATCACTAATTTGTTAAAATTGGTTGGCCAATGATGTGATAAAAAAGAAAGACCTAAAATATTGCATTTTTTAAACCAAAGTACACCTAAAAAATAAGGAAAATACTGGGACACAAAAATGTAAATCCATGAAAACCCATATAACTAGAAGTTTAAATTTGTTTTGAATTAAAGAATCTCCCTCTCTCTCCCCCTCCCTCCTTCCTTCCCTGATTCTCTTTCCCCACTTTTTCCATATCTATATCTGTATCTATAGCTAATCTCTAACTATATCTATATCTAATATTATATAGATATATAGATATACTATCTTTATCTCTATTTCTATTTCTATCTATACCATCTATATCTATAACTTTCATCTATCTATATCTCCTTTAATATATATAATAACATTTAGTTAACTGAAATGCCTATCAAAGTTGGCATTGGCTGTTGCAGTGGCAGGAAACACAAAGTTGGGTAGAACTTTGGTTTTGTTACACAGCCCAAATTTCTTGCTTTAAGTTATAGTTAAAAGCAGACAACTGGGTTCTGTGTGATGTTATTTCTGGTAAGACGGTGATGTGGAATAGAAAGAGCACAGCATATGGTACATTCTTTTTATTCTCAATCTGTATCTGACATGAGGAAAATAGCAAACTTGGGTGAAATTTATGTTTATTTCTGAGGAATATACAAACTACCTTAATGTTTCAGTTTGACCAAAAGACATACCTTAATTGTGAATTAAATTTAACTTTATTTACTTACTTATTTTAAGTAAGCTTTATTCCCAGTGTGGGGCTGGGAACCACAACCCTGAGATCAAGAATCACATGTTCTACTGACTGAGCCAGTCACATGCCCCTAAATTTAATGCTAGTAATGGAGTCCTTGATGTTAAATAACTGTGAGTGCTCAGATTTCCTCTATCAGAAGAGTCAGAACCTGGAATTGGAATTAACTCAAACCCACCAAGAATTTTCAGAGAGTTGTTGGAAATTTAAGTATCTTGATGTTTCAGGGAAAAAGGAATGTTCTGGGATTTGGAGGACATGAATGGTATATTGTCCATCATTAGAATTCAACATTCCTGGTTTTAGCAACAACCAGTCTCAAAATAATACCAATTTTGAGCCCTCTGGTGAGTACCACAGGCTGTGTTCTTACACTGACTGTACAGAAAGAGGAGGCATAGTAAATCTACCCATATACACCAAAGCCCAGGAGCTTTGTCTGGTTTGTATTGTGAATGGGGGCATGGAGTTCATGTTTTGAATCTGACTTGTTTCCTTTTTCCAGGCAAAGAATAGAAATGGAGACAGCTGAGGCTGTAGCTTTGAGACATAGCAACTGGGCAGGGAGTGATTGTGGCTGGCTTTTTAAAATAATAATAATAATAATAATAATAATAATAATATCAATTTTAAGGGCATAAGTGACACAGAACCCAGATAGCAAATTAATCTTAGCTGTTAATTTTTAATGGAATTTTTATAAAAAGGTCTTCAAAAAAAGGTTGCTCTATCTCCACCATTATTTTTTTTTCTATCAAACATATCTGTTACATGTTAATTGTGCCCAAGGCATTGTGCTTGGCACTGGGGATAGGAAGTAAGAAAGGATGAGACAGGGAAGCTCCCGTCAAGAGGTGACCATATGGAAGGGGAACTTAGCCATGGACATCACTAAAAATAATGTAGAAAATGCCTTACTTGTAGTTTGGACTCAGCAGCTGATGAATTGAATTAATATCAGAAGACAAAAATAAAGTACTAGAGTAGCTCAGTGGAAGGAAAAGAGAGGGGGAAAATTTCCAGAGAAGCTGTTTCTTCCTGGTACCTAACAAGTTTCCCCAGTAGTCACACCTGGCAAGAATGTGATTAGTGAAGGGCCACAATCAATGTCTTGTCTCAAGCCTGGAGTCTCCTCCAGTCTTAGACATGTGAACAATTGGCTCTTTCAAATAAAGTCTTCAACAATTGATGCAGGGAGAAGGGTTTTAATATGATCCAGATATGTAATCATTTTAATGAGAATTTAAAAATAAAAATTCCAGTGAATTTAGATCCTAGGTTTAGCATAAGAAGGCAACCATAAAAATAAACTAATGTGGAGGGGCTTGATAGGAGGTGGGGTTAGTTCATAGATTTCTTTCTTCAAAGCAAAGAGAGATAGTCCAATATGTGAAACGTTTAAACAGAAGTTTTCTGGAGAGATAGAGAAAGGTAATGAGAGAAAGAGAGAATGAGAGAGTGAGAGCAAGTATGATCTAAAGCAATCCTTTTGTTTTATAAATGAAAGAGATATACCTCAGAGAGTTCAAGCTAAGTGACTGAGGCCACACAGCCAGGGGTGAATAATCTGATACCATAATATTCCTTCTTATTATTTCTCTCAATACTTCACTGAAATAATAAGACCACAATTGCCTCCATGGATTTGAATTGGCATTTCATTGATTATGCTAAAATAATGAACATTTTCTCCTCGAAACTACTGCTATATTACCTCCTGACATAATTTTGTTATTCACTGCAAAACCTTAATTCTCATTCAGATTCCTATCAGGATTAACTTAATTCATTCTAAAAATACTGGTAGAAATAACATTTAATCCTAAATTAGAATCTCCAGAAATGCTGAATCTCTCATTCTTATTATAGTATTAACTCTGGCTTAATTGGGTTCTTGTAGCCATATGTGAGCTTTCGCTCTCAAAAGTGGAAAGACTAAGTCAGGTTATCTGCTAGGGCAGTGCCAGGAAACTTGAGAGGAAATGGATTAAAAAAGGAGAAAACTTTTAGGGTAGAATCTATAAGTTTGGCATCTAATTGAACATGGGTATGAGAAACAAACAAGAATCAAATTGTGATACTATTAATGAAAAATGGAAACGAAGGAATAGCTTAGTTAGGAAGACAATGGACATTGAGGCCATGGCAATGCGGGCAAGGGAAGTGTGGATCATATATTTAGAAACAAGAGAGTGGAGTTCAGGAAGGAATGTCAGGATGGCAGTATTAGCAACAGAGGTTAGGTTTTACTGCAGTTTGGTATTCACTACACGGAAGGCTGAGAGATTTATCAGAAAATAAGTTTAAAACAGAACACTGTGAAAGAAGGAAACTCTAATAGGGGAGTAGGAGGGGTTTGCAGCTTGGGACATGGAGAGTAAAGCTGAGAGACAGTGTTTGCTGTTGACCTTGGCATCTAGAAACACCTGTCTGAATTAAGGGAGGGGAAGGTGAAGCAGAGCCTGATCCTTCCAGCCCAAGGATGGCAGAACTAAAGAAGAGGAATTCCTAAGGGACCTATGCACGGTGGAGAGAGAACAGGAAAGCTGGGGTCCTGAGAGATCCTCGCAGGAGAATAACTGGTAAGAGTGTCATGAAGGGGGAGTCAAGGTACTGTGCTCAAAAAGTAGCAGGAAATACAAGAAAATCAAATCTTTTCCAGTGACCCCAGTGAACCCTAGTTTTCTGCAGCAGAATAAAAAGTAGGGAAAAGGCATAGCCAGATGAAGTCTGGCCTTGTTTCTGGGTCTATTTCCAATAAAACAGGCTTCAAGATGTTCCAAATCACAATCCGAGTTCTAATTCAAGGCTAGAAAGATCCCAAGTATACATGAGCTTTTAATATGACTTTAAATCAGCAGCTTCTAGTATTTCATGCTTTGTAAGTGACAAATGAGAGTTATATAGTTGGAAACTCAAATACAGGGCTGATTTTCCAGAAGGAAATAAGTAGATTGATAACTTAGATCACGGAGTCAAATAAACACTAGGACTCTACATATAATTTTAGTACCCAGACATGTTTTGGATCTAAAACCCAAGCTTTGGTGGGGCGCCTGGATGGCTCAGTCTGTTAAGAGTCCGACTTCGCTAGGGTCATGATCTCACGTTTTGTGAGTTTGAACCCCACGTCAGGCTCTGTGCTGACAGCTGAGAGCCCTGGAGCCTGCTCTGGACTCTTCTCTCCCTGTCTCTNAAAAAAAAAAAAAAAAAAAAAAAAAAAAAACCCAAGCTTTGGTGAACCTCAAGAGGCCTAAATGCCACAGCTAGGGACTGCCTGGGAATGGCTTCAGAATACTAGGAGGACTCTGAAAGATCAGAAAGCACATTATTTTAGAAAATTTATTAAAGATTAAATGATTTAATATACATCAGGTGCTTAGGCCTGGTAAACTATAAATCAATCAAATGTTTGCTACTACTATTAATATTACTTCACTTTTACTTTCTTGAATTTTCATGGAGTCACAAACAGAAGGACAAAATGTCAGAGGAACTTTTCTTTTTTCTTGTTTAGTTAACCCTCATTTTTTAAAAGATGAAAATGTAAGGAGGATTGGAGACAGTACATGAAATATCAAGCTCAGAGTGTTGGTGACTAGGTGGGAATTTATGTCACAGATGTCAACTCTGTATCTTGGCATAATTTGTTTCATTGGATGTTGTGAGGCTGGTAATGAATGTTTTCGGTTCATTAAATGAATATAATTTTTAATATGAATTGAATAATTTCTTAATATGGAACATTATGTTAGACCTGATGCTGGGGGTTACAGTGATGGAAGGTGTTGGAAGAGGGGTTTAATATTTATGGTTGTCTTATGTGTGTGAGTGGAAGAAGAGCTGAGGAAATAAAGGCCAGTACGGCGCAATAGTCATTGCAAGATATAAATCCAATGATGCTTTGAAAAGTTAGTGAGTATAACCTACCTTCGTGCATTTGATAATTTGAATATATACACAATGGAAATGCAAAAGATGCTTTGGAGAATAAATGCTAAATTAATGAAATTTTTATTTATTAAAAATTTTAATGTTTATTTATTTATTTTGAGAAAGAGAGAGAGAGGGGGCAGAAGTGGGGGAGAAGCAGAGAGAGGGAGAGAAAGAATCCCAAGCAGGCTTCATGCTGCCAGTGTGGAGGCCAACGCGGGGCTCTAACCCACAAACTGTGCAGTCATGACCTGAGCTGAAACTGAGAGTTGCACACTTAAGCGACTGAACCACCCAGGTGCCCCAGGTTAAATTAATAAAATTTTAAAATGCATGGCCACATTTGGCCACATCTATGTTTATATAAACACAGTGTCTTTTGTGCATTGTAATAAAATGTGTGCACTTTAGAGGAAATAGCAACTTAATGAAAAATGATAAATAAATTAAATGGTTTATTAAGTTAAAATGAAATTAATAAGAAAAGATTTAGGAAAGAAAAGATATTTTGAAAATTTTATGCTTCCAGAATATATGATTAATGGGTTTCTGGCTTTAGCTGATTTGAAAGTATAAAGGAACATTTTACTATATAATCTTTATATTGTTTCTAGAAGCTATCCTACCTTTTAAAAATTCCATTTGACATCTGTGCCATAAAATGATTTTTAATTGCCCCTTTGCATGATTGAGACATGGAAAGATGGAGGGTTAATGAAAATAATATTTACAATTACAACAAAAAGTAGAGCTTTGCAATTATAGTCATCAATTTACTATAAAACATACTTGGTTTCTGGATTTCATCCTCTGGTTTCTCCAGGATTTTTCTTTGACTTCCTTCTGGTAAATGTTTTGTTAAATGGATAAATTATGGATGTTTATACTATAGTAATTCTACAGAGGATTCTGTATTTCTCCCAAGAATTTTGTTGTGCCCTTATTATTCAAAGCTCTAAATTTAAAAACTAATTGCTAAGAAGGCTTGGCCCCAAGGTTGGTGGTATTATCCAATAAGAAGGACAGCATGACTCTTTGAGAATCCAAAAGAGAAATGGAATTAGAGACTCAGATGTGTAATTTTTGGTTGATTGAAACTCACCCTCAGGGACAAATGTTTAAAGGGTCAGGATACACTCATTTCTAATTAAGAATTTTTTTTTAATGTTTATTTTTGAGAGAGAGACAAAGAGGCACAGAGACACAGACAAGCGTGAGCAGGGGAGGGCAGAGAGAGAGTGAGACACAGAATCGGAAGCAGGCTCCAGGCTCTGAGCTGTCAGCACAGAGTCTGATGTCGGGTTTGAACTTGGAAACTGCAAGATCATGACCTGAGCCGAAGTCAGACACTTAACTGACTGAGCCACCCAGGCCCCCAGCATACATGTATTTTGTACATTAGCTATACATTAGCACATAATATCTTTGAATGCCTAGGCTATGGGAATGCAGGAAAACTGAAAAAAAAAAAAATACAGCAACCATATTTGAACTACAAGGGCAAGCCTTCATGGTGTTTAATCCTGACAGCCAG